GCAAAGCCAGGTTTTCCCTCTTAATTTGTTTTACGTTTGGGCATTTTCAGATACTTATTTCACTGTAACAGGTACAAATATTATTGCGCCAGGATGATGCCATTGTTCGGATGATGATTCTATATGGCTATGACTTTTTAAAGGCATGTCACGCCCCACGCAGCGCGAATCTTGGTAAGGAGGTATGTAAGGGGGGGCTCTTGTTAGTCTGTCATGAGAGAAAAAGTGCTTGACACTTCCACAGTTCCAGCACGAAAGTCGCAACTATTGATTTATCCGGCCCCTTCCCTGCTAATTACCTGTTGCAACATGTCTTCTGCTGCAGGGCAAGCTCTTTGCAACTCTGTGCATGTGTTTATCTTGTAATCGTTGTTTAATCTGTTTTTAACTGTTTGTTTTTGTCCTTTTTATCTTGTTTATCTGTTTTTTATGTTTTAACTTCTTTTTTTTTGTTATCTTTGGTTTTTTGCTGTATCTTTTTTCTTTAGTATCTTCCCATTAGAAGAAACAATAGATACCAAGTTCAGACTAAGTGTCCGGTATCTAATCTAGACTATCTACTTACTTTCTCTTATATCTGCACTATCTTGCCACGAGCCTTCCTAGTATTATGTGAATGTCGTGGTAGTGAAAGGAAGTGAACAGTGAACACATCAGGTGGATGACACTACTACATATGATGCACGATGCTTGGGTTTATGTTGTGCACTTGGCCTGCGTGAGAAAATGAAGGTCCGGCTGATGTCTGTATCGGCGGCTGCCATGACCACGAGCTGAGTTTGCACTATTCTGGCAAACCAGAGGTTAGTTTGTGTGAAACTAGGTTAGGTTGCCCTGTTTTGCCGGGGGAAGGGCTTGTCACACCTGGGTACGACATTAAAAACCCCATCCGTCACCCAAATCGGCTCGCGATAATTAGTAAGCCAAACAATCAAACAACCAAGGCAATCTGAGATATCAAGGCAAACATAGCTGAACAAAAGCAAGACCAATCAGGCTAATAGCATGGCCAATCCAACCGCAACTAAATCGAATGCAACCATTATTGCAAACAACGTGCGGACGGCAAGCAAGCTCAACGACCGATGAAATCAGCAAAACCGCCAATGACACACGAAGCAGCCACAAATAACACAGCCAGTATCGTGGCAACTTCTTTGGTGATGTTGTTGCTTGCTTGCTTGCTTGCTGGCTGGCTGGCTGGCTGGCTGGCTGGCTGGCTGGCTGCCTGGCTGCCTGGCTGGCTGGCTTGCTTGCTTGCTTGCTTGCTTGCGGGTGGGGTTCACATTTGAACCAGTGAGTCTATTTTGTTCGCCGAAATGAGATTTGTCAGCTCAGGTTCGACTTAGCTCAGGTTCGACTTCAAGTGTATTTGGTTCGCAGCACATTGGCAGATACCGTGTGATCATGGAAATCTCCGTTTTGTTTGCATTCCTGACCCATTGCATTGTTCTGGACCTTTCACAGTGAAGAACCATGATGAAGGATAGTGGCCTTGGACGCTTTTGCAACGACCTTCCAATGCATGTCAAATTATTGCCACTTGAAGCATCATATCATTACATCATGCCGCACGTGGCGCTCCATGCTGCATCGCAGGCGGGCACACAGGTTCAAAATTTATTGCACCATGCAGGAGTTTGCATGTCGTAAGGATGCTACATCCTTCGCAGAAGAAGGCAACTCCAGCAGTATTGGAGCAGCAGCAGGCTTGCTCATCTCGAAATCCCTTACATGGTTTGCCACGTTGAACAGTTGTTTGGCTGATTAAACGTTGCATGCCAAATCCGCGGCAGTACTCTTACGTCTCATCACATTGTTTTGGACACTGCAAAACACGAGTCTGAAGCCAGGTGCAGGACTTGGAGGCATGGTGGTTTTCCACCTTACGGCAAAGGACTGCATCGCTGGTGCCTCGGGTGTGTTTTTGGAATTTTACAGATCCCCCCAGGCAGGTCCTTCCTCCCCTTTTTCATCCGTTGTGGCTATGTAACTCCTCAGTGTGGTACCTGCCTGGGGGCAGTCCCTACCAATGGTGCTATTCGGCCAATTACAGGCCATGTTTTGCCTGGACGATTGTGGGATTCTTGGTGGGGATGGTGCTAGAATTGAACCCTCGCAAACCGAGGCACCTCCAGCTTGTGAGCAAGTCAAGCAGTGCATGGCAGAAGCTGCCAAAAAGGACTGGCATTTCTTGCCTTGATTGGGGTGGGTTGATTTTTTTTAAGGGTACCCTTTTGCGGGTGGTTTAGAATGGATTTCAAATGGAAACTGCCCATTTTGGCGGGTTGACTCTTTCAGAGATGCCTGACCAGAAGGGAGAGAGGGCAAGCGTGTTTCCTGAGTGGCCACGCAAGTGTTTCGCAAGGGACAATCAGGTCTCAGAGCATTTGTGCCGGCATTCTCTGACATGCTACGCATGGTCATCAAATGAACAAGTCACGCGAGGACTGACATGGCCCATACGTGTGAGTGTGTCAAAACTCGGGATCCTTTCTGGCCAACAAGCCTATTGTGACGTTTTCAAACAGTTTGTTCGTTGATTTGTGACCGTGCCTTGTGTAGGCCTTCATGGGCTCAGCCATCATGGGTGCAGCAGCCACTGCCCGGAACCCAGGCTTTGAAAACGACAGAGATGTAGGTCAGCTTGACAGCCCCATGGCGCGTGCCTGATCCTTTAGGGCGAGCCACCTCCCGCGGCTTCCTGCGCTCCCTTGGATGACTGGAGCCTGGCTCCTGTGCCTGGCTCAGTGCTGGGAATGTCTCGGGGGCCGACTCGCTGGGGCCGACTCGCTGCGGAGTGCAGACTCTCCTGAACAGGCCTTTGCGATGTGGAATCTCCAGCGAGATCTTCGGAGAGCCTGGGGCTCAGTTGGGAAGGGGTTCTCCCCAAGTTTTGGGTCATTTAATGTAAAGGAGCTGAGCAAAGCTTCTTTCGAGCTGTGGCTATTGTAATTTTGCTGACGGCCATGGATTTGTTTGAATTTTGGAAATGCCAGACGAGGATGCACCTAAGTTCACGTCAATGATTTTGTCAGGACTTATGTGCAGCGTGATTTTCCCCACTTGCAGGACAGGGCGAGGGCGATGTCATTCCTCGGACTTTCACAGAGCCGCGAGTGAAATGGCTGCCAAGGCGCAATCCATTTATTGGGCAGCCATGAGATTTTTGATGGTCCGTTTGCTTTGGGTTGGTTTATATAAATTTCTTTTGGGGGGGTTGCCATATCTTGGCACATGCCCAGATGTTCTTTGACAGATTATCAAGGTCATTCATTATATCTTGCCCTTGATCCGACCTCATTTGCATTCATTGTTAGCTACATGTCTCTTGGCTTCAGGCACAGTACTCGCAATCCCAGTTTGCCCGGGCTGGTGCCACCCCATTGGCATTTTCACTTTCTTGTGCAGACTGCAGTTCGCAAAGGATAGGCACAACCCCGCCGGCAGCACCACTTTTGCTCGCGCCATGGATGCCAACCCGAGTGACTTCCTGGCCGGCTTCCTGCAGGGAGGGAAACATGCCTGACGCGCACGTGCCCACACGCACACAAATGCGCGGATGCACGAAGGGCTGGATTTGACTCTGACTTTCATCCCAAGGCGGTACGCTCGAGCCAAGACTCTTTCTTGGCTGTCCAGGCCTCATCTCAAGCGTTTTCAGCCAAGTCGGCTGCTTCGCTTTTCAAGGCAGCAGAGTCGCACGTGCTTCAGCTGCTGGCAAGGGGCCATACGCCGAGGCCCGTTTCTAGCGAATGACATTGCTCTGCTTGCAAGCGACTCATGTGCAGGACGAATGCCAGCGTGGCAGAATGTTTGTTGCTTATGAAGGAGTGCTGTATTGGTATGCATGTTGGCACCTGACAGGCACGACAGTACAAATTGACTGTTTGGTCTTTGCGGGCAATGTGACTCAACTTCATGGCTTGAGCGTTTGGCCCGTTTGAATCAAAGTCACGGACAAGTTGCGGGTCGAAAGGCTCATTTTGCCTCACGCTTGAGGAGATCGACAGCCGGGCTCAGGTGGAGCAAGCAACTCAATTCCAGATCATTTGCCAGAGTTGCAGCAAATATACCGTATATACCTGCCTGTGCCCATAGCAGCCGCAGCTGCTTGCACTTTTCAGTTCATGCAGTGCCATTAATTGCATCATCCTGTTTTGTCGAAGGCAATGCAGACTGTCGCAGCTCGATCCTGAGTGTCAGGTATTGAAACTTGACATCCTGCGGTATTTGTCCAGCCTTCATCCTTGCAAGCTGGTAGTTCTATGCCCTGACCAGGACAGGATTGACCGAACGCCAGAGAGTGGCAGAGGACAGACTCGTTTTGCTTGACTGCAACAAAAACACACAATTGGGATGGCGCATATCCTGTCCCTCCCATGATGTAGATCGCATTCAGGCTTGGTTTGTCGTCAACCTTAGCTTGCATCACAGCACCAAGAACAGAGGCAGCCACCCACACTTTTTGGCAGTTGCAGAGCGGCTAGCAGTTGAGTGGAGGAGCAACGCTCTAGACGCTACGAGCGGTTTGTTGAGGTCATGCAGGCAGCTGAGGGAGTCACACCATGCCGAAGCCATAGCTTTGCCTGGCACGTCCTGCAGGTTGCCGTGAAGGAGGGTGCCACCACGGCGCGTCAAGCCATAGCCTCGAACGCCGAGGCTGGGAGGAACCGAACAGTTGCGGGCGCCAGAGGGACGTCTTGGCCAGGTGTCCAAAGAGACTGTCAAAGGCCACGTGCAGATTGAGGCTCGGGGGCCTTGGTGGCACCATGTGCTCATGCTTTTTTGGAGTGGCAAATGAGCTGACCTGCTCAGGCATGCCGAGCCCAGGTTCAGTCAGGATGCGGCCTCAGATGCTCAGAGGTACAGAAGAAGTTGTGTTGACAGATTCCAGGCTCAAGCAACATGTGGCAGCTGGCTGGACGCCCAGCCTTTGTCTGTGCCTGCGCAGCCTGACAAAGGCATGTGATGCAACTCGGATTTGGCCCAAGCCCCATGGAACACAATGGAATAAAGCTGAATACATGGCAGGCAAGTGACTTGGGTGAAGGCAAGCTGAGCAAAGTTGTAGACTGTAGACCATCCAAGCTAATTGGATGAAAATGATCAAACTCTCACAGCAAGAAGAGGCTGCTGAAATCAGCAAGGACATTGATTAGTTGTGTCTTGGATGGCAACTCAGCTGGCAATTGGTCAGATAGCACTGCAAGTAGAGCAACCTGTTTGGCGCCCTGTTTCTGCAAACACTTGGCCCAGAGACAGCCATCGAGGCACGTTTGGCCAGAGCCACAGTCAGAGCTCCCTTAGTTTCCGTGTAGCGGCTGCGGCAGTGGCGGTGGTTGCCAGGCATGCTCGCAAAGTGGAGGCTGTTCAGGAGCCAAACAGTGAATCTGAATTGGCAGAGTCGCAAGAGTCAGAGTCGCAAGAGGCAGAGACAGGCCATGCCTCACCCAAGGCCAACAAGTGGCTGTCTCTTTTCCAACGACTTTTCAGGGATATGGGAGGAGTTGCCTCGAGGCCGCGGCGGGACTTCACCTACTGGAGTATTCTGGCGGCCGCATTTTCCTTGGCCATTGGCAGCGACTTTCTGGGCATCATGCGAGCATTGCTGAGCTTGAATCCGGAGGCCGCGCGGGAGGCTGGATTGGATCAAGTCTACCCCGTCAGTGGGTTGAAGTCCTTCAGGCAGGCGGGCAGATACCGGCTTCGATATCCGGGGGACTGGCTCCAGGACCAGAGTATCGCCTTTTCCAAACAGGCACAGATGGAGAGGCCCACCCTGAGGCAGAAGAAGCGGATTATTCCGGATGCTGCTTTTGGGCCTGCGGGCGGAGGTTTGGCCTCCCCGGACACAGCCCAGAACCTCTCTGTGGTGGTGCAAGCTGTGCAGACGCAGGATCTGCAAGCCTTGCTTGGGGAACCCCGTGAGGCCTTTCAACGGCTGTCTGCCGAGACCTTCGCGCCCGACAACTCCTGCAGGTCCGCGGAATTGCTGTCTGCTCAGCTGTCCGCCAAGAACTACTACGAGCTCGAGTATCGCGTCTCTCTGGCTGGCAGCGAGGGGCCTGTCATACACTGCTGGTCGTTGGTGGCACTGCGCCCATCAAATCGATTTGGTGAACTGTACACCATGACTCTCGTGGTTCCAGAGCGAGAGGTGACTTCTGCGAACAGGCACATTTATGACATGGTGTGGCATAGCTTTGAACTTGAGTGACCGCTATGGCACAAGAAAAGACAGTGTCAGCAACCTGTGGCTAAACCGCTTGGCAGGGGTGCAAATGCGCAATGCCCACAGTCAGGATTCTCCAGCTATGGGATTCTGGATTTAATTGGCTTCTCAATTGCTGTCGCCCTGTATCAACGGCATGCCATGCAAATCAAGCGAGGCTGCAGTTTTTTTCGCTGGCGCTGCAATTCTGCGTGGGGCTTATGTGTTTGCCAGTGCGGTGAGTTGGGGTTCATGTGCTTGCTGGCAGGGGTTCACGGCGACGCCAGTCATCACGTCCAGGCGCTTCATAGAGAGAAATGGAAAGAATGGATGCTTGATGTGTCTGAAGCTTTTTTGGGACGTACATTTCTGCCAAGCTATTTTCGGGCGCTTTGGGATCAAGATCACAGCCAAATCGGGTCTATGTTTGTCCCCAGATGGAACGCCCAAGATCTCCTGCAAGGGCCGCGGCGCTGGCTTTTCTGGGTTCTTGCGGCGCTTCTTGCCTGGAGGCCTCAGCCTTCAGCCCTCGATACCTTTGGCGATTTTTAGATGGGTGAAGTAGAGGTTGGTCTCCCCAGTTCCTTGTGAAACCAAACGAGAAGGTGCCTTTCAAGCCTCCAACCACACCAGCTAAGAGTCAGCGGCATCGCCAGGCTGCGTCAAATGCGCGATCGCTTTCGGCAGCTGCTGAACCTGCGGCGCAGCTCAACTTTGGGTGTGCCTTTGGGGGAACTCCCTTATGGTTGACCGACTTATGCCTCAAATTATTGCATTTCTTTTGCTTGAGAATGGAAGCATGGGGTGGAACGGAATCCAGGCTTTGGAGCCTTGGAGACAAGAAACACAAGGTCAGCCCGGTTGTCGCAGATTCCGCGAGGTGGCAGATGCCTTGGCGGCTGGGATGGCGAGGCGAGCGCAGGCTGTGATTGCAAGGCTTGTGGCTTGACGGCTCAGGTTCTTGGACCTCTGCCGCGCTGTTCTCGGATGCAAAGAGTTGGGCAGTTTGCAAAGAGTTGGGCAGTTTGCATGTTGCCAGTGAGGTCCCAGCGATTGCTTCGAGGGAAGCAAAGGAGAGCGAAACGAAAAGCGTGACTCCGAGCCGTGGCAGCAATACAAGTCTTGGCTCTCCTTTGGGGGTGTCAATGTTGTTCGGATGTAAGGAGGAAGAGATCAGAGGATGAGAATGTTGAACGCGACCCTGAGGCGGCATTTGGAGCAAAGCAAGCAGCCTTGTCGGTAGCCCCCCCCGTGTGTCACTTACATTGCCTTGCACGTGTCTAGTAACCTTAGTAGACACACACACACACACACGTGTTTCATACCAGCGTGAATGAGAAAGGCATACTATGTTTGAGAGTTTTGACCATGGCTCATGTTGAACGGGGATGTGTCGCTTCTCCTGTTGAGAGATTCTCTTTTTCTTGGCACCTATGAATGGTGATGGCAGGCAGACGACGCTCAAGTACTATAGTTAGCTTGCCATTTGCAATGTTCCTTGTCTCCGTTGTTGCGGACGAATATCTTCTTCTTCCTTCTGAGCTATGATGCTTGTACACGCGCAAACATCACTTGCACTTTGTTGCTGTTCGAGCAGCGCAGCTGGGATTCATGGAAAGGCGGCATTGACGAATCTGCAGCAGTTTCTGCGACCAGCTGGGCTCGACTCATACGCCGCTGCTAGCTTAGTTTGTATCACAGCCTTAGATTCAATACTGTCTCCTGCCAGCCAAGGACTGCCTGGCTCAGAACGGCTATGATGTAGAGGCCCAGTAGCACTCACGACTTGGCAGCTTGCATTCACAGGTCTGTATTGGCAATCAAATCTTTCAGCTTTGATCCTTGTTGGGGTAGGGAAGGGTGCACCAGGCTTGCCCACTCTGATGTATGTCCTGTATGTCACTCTTTGTTATTTTTTTGGGGTTCCGTCTTTGTGTAAATTTACTTAGCCTCAGAAAGCCTCATGGCTTGGACCCATCCTAAGTCAACGAGTCATTGCAGAGGTCCTGGCTCAGCTGGAGCAGACAGAACAGGAAGAGATGCTGGAGCGGAACGCTCAGGGCACACGTGGGTGTCAAACTAGTTGCCTTGCCCCAAAAGGCAAGCTTAAGGGCCCTCATTGCTGGCCCAAGGATAATTCAATGCCTGCCCGGTCACAAAGTCCATGCCTTAGCTGCACCGTGAATGACCTTGAGCCAGAGTTTGTCCCACTTCGATTTTGTTATGTGGACACCCACGAAAACCTTTTGTTACACCAGGGTCCGCCGAAAGCAACGCCAAAAGCACCCCAGCCAGCCAGCAACCCAGCAAGCCAGCAAACCAGCAAGCCAGCAAGCCAGCAAATTAGCACGCATCCTAAACAGTTCCCTAAACAGACCCTATACCCACCCTAGGTCAACCCTACACCAACCGCAATCCCACACTGAATCAACCCGAAGGACACACTGAACTATCCCTAAACAACCCTTACACCGCCCAAAGCGACCCAAAACCAACCATAAACACATTTAATCCAAGCCGAACGACAAGCCAGAACCAACAATGAGCGGCCTTCACGATGAACAGACCGAAAAACATCACCACCCAGCATAAACTCGACACCAACCCAGCGAACCCTGACCCACTCTAGGCCCATCCTAAACCCCACACTTCCCCTTCCTAAACAAGTTCGAAACCAGGCACGGGCCAGCCTTTATGCCGCCCTAGATCAACCCTAGTTCAACCCTAAACCTACCTGCCAAACTAGCCCCTACCACTAGCCCCAACTCTCTAAGCAAACCATCCCTAACCGAACCGAACTCCAACCCTGCGGCTGGGACGCCGAAGCCAAGGGAGTGTCATCAGAAACTGTGTTTGCAATCCGGGGATGTAGAAAAGCATTCCTGCAAAGTGACCCGTTCTGGTCTGAAGGGGCCTGTTTAAGGCCTCATGTCGAAAGTCAATGGGTTGCCAGTGCTCAGGTTAAGTTCCGAAAGCTTTGGCGAAGCCAAAGCTGAGTCCAGACAGCTGCTGGAGTGCAAGTCCCAAGCGCTGTCGAGTTATTCGCAAAACAGGTGCCGCGGGATTCGCAGGGCGAGACTTGCGTTCAGAACCAACTCGTAGATCGGGTCTCGTGCTTCATAATTTTCGTCAGTGACTGGACCCCTGCCACGTAGCCCTGAATGTCCTCGGAGCTGGCTTCCACCACTTTGTGTACTTAGCAAAGATTACATGGGGTGTGTGGTCGGGATTCCACAAGGTGCATTCTGCGAGGGGACCACTCCAAAGGGTTTCTCCTTAGTTTGCAGGCCAGCTTGTTGGTCTCTTAGTACTAGTTTAAATAACTTGCGGTTAGAGCGAGAATCTGAGAGCTTGCCGCAGAGTTTCAAGAAACCGACCAGGTCACATGCAAACCAGGATCTGAGGCTCAAGATAGGCTAGCTGGATGTGAGAAGCTGCTTCTGGCGGTGAAGGCATTGCGGGACTGGCATCTTAACAAAATGCACTGAGGACGTCAGGGCTATACTCTTGCCTTAAACTGCCTCAAACACGGGAGCGCGATATTTGTATGCAGATGGGGATCAGTTGGGTGTCTCCTTTTATGAGTGTTTTCTTTTTTGTTTTTTCAAAGGCAAACCAAGAGGAACACCACCCATTTTGGGGGGTCCCCCAAACAACGACACACCCAGTTTGTTGGTTTCGGCCTCGCGGGTTCCTCGGCTTGTGCCTCCAGGGGGTGTGAAATGGCGGCTGCCTCCCAGCTGACGCTTCTCGCCCAGGGGCAATCGCTTGCGCTCTGTGAGCCACAATCATGTCCGCAACTGTTTGGCTGCATGTGCCACCAAAGTTTGATTCTTTTTGGTCGCGAATTGCCTCAAGGTCGGTGGCATCTCTACTGCACAACAACCTGGCAAGTTCTTCAAATGGGCCCTGACCTGAGCCTCACAGGGTTGGGCAACATTTGGTTCAACAATGGTGGTAAACAGGTTCAAAGGGCTTGGCCTAACCCAGGAGCTTCACCACACCCTTTCGGTACAGTTTGGACAGGTGGATGGCATCCATCCACAACTCGTTGAATGCAGGCTGGTGCAACCCTAGTCATTCTGTCTTGATCGCTTTGGCGAGCGCAGAACGGGCTTGAGTGTTTTCAGAGGAAAACGAAAGGCTTGACTGGAGGGATGGGAAGGTGACAATGGAGCTTGGGCTGAACGGGGTGGCAGGACAGGGGAAGCTGCTGCTGCATGCACTTGCATCTGGCCAAAGCAAGGACCGGGATGGCGTGCGAGAGAGTCACCCCTTTTCGCAAATATTACACATGAGGATTTGGCCCATTGCACGTGAGCCACTACCAGTAAAGAGGATGGATTTTTCAAGGAAGGCAACCAGACATAGTTGGAGACGCCAGCGCCTGATTTTTCTTTTTCAGTGACCCCGTCACAAGGCAAGTTTTTGAGGGTCAGCCCTATGGAAGTCTGCAGAGGGTTCACTTTTCGAGGGTTGCGAAACAGTGCGTGCGGCCGTGCCCATGGGCCTGTCTTCGAGACCGCTCTGTTTCTATTCCCCAGTTCTCACGATTTTCAGTTTTTTCAGCTTTCTGCGCATGCACACATGTTCTTTCATCAAAGAAACAGCTCAATTAGTTCCAGTACTACGGAAGTCTCTTCTAAACTTCATTTGAAAAAGGAATAGGCAGACAGTCAAATCCGTACCCTTGAAGCGAGACCTCCAGAAATTTTGGGAAGGGCTCTGTTGCACCTGGACTGGCTCCAGCGCGCCTTGGAAGCAGGACGGACCCGAGCTGGTACAGGCCAGGTTTGGCAGAGGGGCGACGGCTTGTCAAAAAAGTTCAATGGTTGTGACATTGTCCAGGGATTATTTGTCCCTTTGTTGAAATGGTTAAACTATGACCTTGGAGGAAAAGGTCAACGTTGATTCAGAAGCTATTTTGTTTCCGATGTGGTGATGTTTGGAGATGTTTGGAGACAGAGTTGTGCAGCATTTAGGGGGCCATGTAGTGGACATTACGTAGGCGGTG